GACATAGCACCCTCAGACTATCATTTGCGTCTCTGTAGAACTCTCTTAATAGTGTAAAGCTGGCTTCAAAAGAGGCCTGTGAAAATCACTTGAAGTAGTTTTTTGACTAGAAACCACAGAAGTTCTATCGCGATGGGATTTGCCTCAAAAATGGCAAAATATTATCAAAAATAATGGAGTATATTTGGTTTGAATAAATTGATTTTAATACTATAAGAAAAACTTGAATTTTACTAAAAAAACGTCACGAACTTTTTCCCACACCCAATATATGGAAACGTCGCGCGGCACACTCTAATCTAAGAATTACATTAATTATGGACGAAATCTGTTTATTGATATTTATCGATATTTTAATTATAATACAATTTTAGTAAAGTTTAAGCGGTTGCTTACGATTTCTTGGCGAATGTCGTAATGCTTCACTATTTAAATATACCAGAATTAATCATTTACTGTGGAGTGGAATAAATCTCGGTATTTCGTTGCACTATTCATTTCGGTGGAGTCATGTTTATCCCGACTAAGCTACAGCTTTGTTGTTACCCATGGACACCACGAACTTTCCGCCACGCGTCCTGAACAGACCCATTTGCATAAAGCCACACATCTCTTACATACAAATGCTTAGCTTAGGCTCCGAAGTAACAATGCATATTGTGCAAGAAATGTAAGATATCTACATGTGAAATCCGCATTACATTCTTCGACATTATTCCGGGACGACGCAGATGTACCACTCGCGTACACATATTCGGATGTACTGACACGGAATTAAAATATTATGTTTAGCGACCCGCTTAAGCTTGGCTTTCTAGGAACTCGCGTTTCGTGCTTTTTTGTACATTTTTAAACGATCGAAGGTGAAAGATATCTTGCGAACTTTTCGTTAAAATGTAATTGAACTGAAATATTTTTTTGCTCGTTCAACTTCCGTACACATAAAGTAATGCTTTCAATTATGAATCGAGTCCTAATTTCGAGTCAAATTTGTTTCCTTAATATATTAAAAAAGTATCCTTAATATATTAAAAAAGTTTCCTTAATATATTATAATAAAAATGTAGGACAAATTCTTTTATATTCACTAGCTTTTTTATAATTATATTCTAAGTTACATTCACAAATGTTGTTAATATTTAAGAAAAAAATATAGAATATTATTTGCTTTACCGACTCTTTAAATTTATGAAACTGTTAGTAGATCGCGTGCTACGTATATTATTATTCTATATAAATTAAAATAATATAAATATAGACATTATTAATATATAACTGAGAATTATATGACCCATTTTAAAGACACGAAATAATTAGCTAATCTATAATTAAGACTTGTGCATATAAATTTCTAATTATTTTCGTAAATTTAGAAACAATTAATTTAAAGTCTAATAATTGAAACTATTTTGCGTTGAAATATTTCTTGCTTGTATTAGTATCAAAACAGGTTCTTTTAATATTCTTTTAATTATCTTTTCCGATTGACAAATTTATATTAATAAATTAAATTTACTTTAATCTTAAATCGTTATTATACAAAAAGAAAAGTTTCTTTGGATTTAATATTTCTATTTGTTTAATTAATGAATCTGTTGGACTAAAAGAAATAACATAATTTTATACCAAGTATTATTTGTTTCATTATGTTCCACCAATTTTTTAAAATTAATATCTTGAGATTTATTATGAATATCACAAAATAGTATGGGACTTTTATGTTCACCTCAATCCGTTCTACGTTTCCACGAATATTGCAGAGATGAATCTAGGACATCCTGTATAAATAATTAAGTAAACAAATTTTGTATTTATATTTCTCAATGTTTTAAATATAATACTTCTGAAATATATTTCTTGATTAGGTAATTTCTTTTCAAATGTAATTTTGCAAATAATCTACTAAGGTAATTCCTCATATTGCTACTGTTTTGCTGAAATATGTAAATAACTGCGTAGATGTTTAGTTATTAATTAAAGAAAATTAGTGTACAGTTATGCACATTAATGCACCAATCTTTTTTAATTAATAACTAAACATGTGGTTATTTGAAAAATGATAGAAGACTTTTTTATTTAATTTTACATACAAGCATACAGCGATAAACGTCACTATTACGGCTCATCTACCGTATAACGTATATGATTATTCACGAAACTTCTTTGATTAATATCAAAATTTACTCATAATTAATCAAAATTTACTCATAATTAATTACTCATAATTTTACGTGATTGTTCGTAAATGGCAGAGGAATTTTTTGTTTAATTTGACTTAATCTATTTGTATACCGCGGCTCCTCCGTGAGTTACCGGATACCCTGTTTATCGGATGTTAAAAAAGTATTTCAAATTTGCAGGATAGATAATTTGCAGGATAGTACTTATTATACTGAGTAGAAATCAAGTAGCAGACTCACGTCAAAATGACGTCAAAAGCTGGTCATAACTGGTCGATTGACGTCATGTGACTAAATAACGATGTCTTTAACACATCTTTATGGCGTCTTAATGACGTTTCTGTATAACGTCTTAATGACGTATTATTGACGTTTAGAGATGTCATAAAACGTCATTAAGGGGGAAAATCACTATAGAGGGTTACAAAAATCAAATTTTTTTTACTTTAATTAATAGTAAGATATGTATAGAATATATTCCCAAAGTTTGGTTTTAAAATTCAAAATCTAAATGGTCGTACAGGACCATTTCTCGCAGGTCAAGCGCATAAGGCGAAGTCTGAGCGCACAATGACTCGCAACGGCTTTGTTTAAAAAAAACTCGTTTGAAAAAACGGAAAAAAATTATTCTAAGAAAGATCTATTAGAAAAGTGTTTAGTTGGGCACACAAAAAATGCAAATAAAAGTTTTAATAGTACGATTTAGCGATTAGCTCCAAAGCATATACATTGTGGTTTTAAAATCACCGAAATCACCGCCTATATTGCCGCTGGGATATTTAATGAAGACTACTTTGCTGTTTTGAAAATAATGGAAATATTAGAAATTAAAATTGAGCTTCTATGTAAGTTATATACTGATAGTAAAGACGCCGAGCGAATAAAGAGACAGGAGCGCCGCGGTATAAGTTGCAGTAAAGAGGTTCGAATAGCAAGTAAACAACACCAACATGAGCAAAATGACTTGTTTGAAGAAGCGGAAGCTTTACTGTATGGGATAAGAATGGCGGATTAGCAGAAAACAGCTGTAAGTTTACAATTTTCTATACCTGAAACTTTAAACGCGTTTTTCTCGAAACGACTTCTTCCAAACTGGTGTGCAAGATAATTCAAAAACTATTTGATCAATCGAGTTGCTCTTTTACATACATTTAGTTTATATTTGCTAGTCGATGGACCTATAAAATCGATAACATTATTTATTTAAACAATTTTTTCGCATATATAAAGTTGGATTTTTATGAGTAAAAATCGAACTTTTGATTCAAGGGCTGTTTTTTTGTCAATTACAAAATTTCTTTTCAACTTGTTTAAGTTCATCGACAAATTATGGCCATAAAGAGTAAAAAATTTTTCCCTATTTTGGTTTCAGACGAATACAATAGGAGCCAGAATACACACCGTTTTATGCCGATTCTACCGCGACGCTCAACATTTCTTTCACTACATACAATTTATAAACATTTTTCTCAACTTAAAAATATTTTTTAATGCTTTAATGTACAAACAAGAACACTACAAAATTAGAAAGCGATTGGATAAATACGTTCTTAAAAAAAAATTCACGAAAATCCACTTATTTACCTTATTGCGGACAAAGAAATATCAAGATTTTTAATTAGATTAGATAATTAAATAAATAGAAATATCAAGATTATTTAAATAGAATTATCGATTTTTTTTTAATACAATGAGAAAATTAGGTAAAACCATTTTTTTCGGGTCAAGTAACAAATTACTTGAGACAATTAATAAAATTACTTAAAGAGCTAAATTATTATATTTCCTGAATAAAAATTGGTTTATTTGGACTGTTCCAACAGATAAATTGCTTTGAATTTAATAAAATTTATTGAATCTAAAGAAATCGTTCTTTCAACGTGTGGAATCATTATCTTATTCTATTTCATTTTATCTTTTACAAATCTTTAGTCATGTTTTAATAATAGTGTGATATTCATTTCGGAATATTAAAATTTTATTTTCACAACATAAAACATTTTCTAATTATTATGAAAATGTTAAAATAGAAATCCTTTTTTCTACCTCTTGAGCTGTAATCTTAATGTAATACATGGCTGCTATAAGATCGTCGTTTTGCAAGCAAGTTTATTTACATGCAACTAATTTCATTCATATACAGGTCACAGGATAGAATGCCATAGAGCGGCAGAGACACTTGCGAAGTATGGAGAACTTGAGGCTCACCAGTTGCTGAAGAACTATTCCGCGTTCGGCCGAGAGCATAAAGTTAACTTCTGACTAACATCGCTACAAACTAAACGCGCTTCTTGCATCTTTAAAAATTGATTCAGAAATTTATAAACTTATTATACAGCATTGTTCTGAACTCTGCACATAAAAAATGCATATTCAAATAAATTTTACTTATTTCAGATATTTTATAAGTTTACATATCCATTCTATCATAAGTTCACTACAAACATTAAATGTACTCGAGAAATACTCTCTGAATCTTAGTACAGTTAGTATTTCAATGAAGAATATATTAAATTAAAACAAAAACTCAATTTATTTATTGTACAGAATTAAACCAATTTTTTTTTTAATAGTTTTATAATAGATATTCTTGTAAAGAGAATAAAAATTATTCTTTTAAGTGCATGATATAATAAGTTTTTTTTAAATTTGTAATGCGTATATTTTAAGATTATTACCAAGAAAATATTCTTTGTCGAGAATAATCATTATTTAAAAAAGGGAAAGTAAACTGAGTAATCGCTTTTCTTAGTACTAAAATGATATTTTTTTGTGTGTAAGAAGCGCATTTTATAATTAATCCAAAACGATTGCACTGACCGCTCGTCGTCGACAAGTTTTGCAGGGTGTTGTTGAATCTGTCTATTTCATCTTGTCTCGGGGATGGATAATTGTCGGAAGTATTGTCGTAAAGAATAGTATTCCGTATATCTTTTAGATGACCCGGATGCTGTTCTAAGATGTTGTAAAGTAACCACTTGACATCCGCGAGCTCCTTAATTAACTTTTCCTCCAAACTCGCGAACTTTTCGTCCATTGTTTCTGGAAACATATTTTTTTTTTCCATGAACATCGGTTAATCCCCGCGGCAAGAGATGAGATTAACTTTATACCGTTACAATTAAACGCGCTCCTAAGGTTTAATTTGACTGCGAGCGGAAGCAATTGTCTTTATAGAAATTTATGTCCTCGAATGGGCATTTTCTTCCAGATGAAAATTCAGATTCAAAATTTTTTTCGCAAGGGAGAATTATTAACATATTTGCTACCAGCGATATATATGTGTGATGCACCGATTTTTTACTTTAAGTTCATATTTTAATTCTAAACTTTAATTCTACTTAGCGCCATCAACGTTATATACGAGGTGTTCTGCTTTAATAGCTCAGTAAGCAAGACATCATTAATACAACGTTGCTACAATGATATTAAAGAATATATAATATTGTCAAATATGTAGTGTTTAATATTGTATCAAACATCATTATGAACATACTTTGACCGCGATTTGGAAATTTCAATAATGTTAAAATAGGGTTGTTATAACATTTTAATCGGCAGAAATATTTTTAAGATGTTGCATTGATCTTAAATAAATGTTAAAGTAACATTTGAAAAATATATTTTTTATAATGTTTTTAAAACGTTTAAACAACTTTCAGAGAAATCATATCACAAAATAACATATGAAAAATATAAATGCAATATTATTAGAAAATGTCCAAACAATGCACATGAAGTCAACGTTTTTAAACGTTAATTTAATGTTTCTTGCTTACTGGGAGTATCTTTAAAATATCTCAAAAAAGGAGACATTGTAGAACAAAATATACCAAACAAAAGTTGTTTAGTTTCAAGATGGAAAGAAGGTGGTAATATTCATTTGATTTTGGAATGATCTCACGGAAAGACTTGTTACAATCAGTTTTAATTTTTTAAATGGAAATGTACAGTTTTTCTAACACAAATCAATTCCTTTAGTCATTTGCGTATAAAAGTGCTAAAGTAGTAAGCATATAAAATTATCAAAAAATGAGTACTTTTTAAGATATTTTATATTTTATCCAAATATTCTTCAGTACAAAATATGAAATATCTCGTAAACTATCCACTTTTCGGCAAGCTCACTTAAATATTTTTATATGTAGAATAGTGAAAGAAATCAATCGGTTATTAATCTTCACATTAATTGATTTTAGCGCATCAATAAATTTGCAAAATGCAACGGAACTTTGTTTAAAATTTTTTATGTGTTTTTTCGCAAAAATCAATTTGACTGTTATTCTACGTATAAAAATTTTAAGATGAGGTTATTAAAAAGCAGAAAGTATAGTTTGTAAGATATTTTATATCTTATACTGAAAAACATCAGAATAAAATAAAAGATATCTTGAAAAGTATTTCAATGATTTTATCCCAGTACTTTTAAACGTACAATGTGATTAGAAGAATTGATTTGAAAAACCAATTTGATATTAGAAAAACCATATGATTTCATTAAAAAAATTGAAATTTATTTTGACAGATTTTTCAAAGTCATTCTGAAGTCAAGTAAATTTCATTATCTTTTCTCCCGTGAAATTATACAACTTTTGTTTAATAAATTTTTGCCATAATTTCCTTGTTTTTGAGATTTTTAGGTGTGCAATTAAAAGGAGACACTCCCCAGGTAGCACACACACGTTTTAGAAATGTTTTATAAACGTTAGAACCAAACCTTTCATAACCGTTTCCAAAACATTTCATAACGTTTCTGAAATGTTTTTCATAAGTAAAAATGTCCACTCAAAAAACGTTAGGTGAAACGTTATTTTTGCAAAAAAAATCGTTGAAGAAACGTTTTATAAACGTTTATAAACATTTTATAAACGTTTCATAAATAAAGTTTTAGAAGGGTTTCTGTTAAAACGTTTCTTATTGGTGCTTTACGGTTCTAAAACTATAGATACGTTTAAAAAACGTTTCTAATACGTGTATGTGCTATCTGGATCTGTATGCGTTCTTAATACGTGTATGTGCTACCTGGGTGCGATAATTTTTCTTTCTATATCTACATAAAAATTGTTTTTCACATGATTACATGAAAACAATATAATATAGTCTATAAAGAGAGTACCTCAAATAAGCTGTGGTAGCTGTGGTAGCTGTGCTAAAATTACGTGTTTATTTTTTTTCAATGATATCTATTTTTTAACGATTTTACATATCATTTGGTAAAATTTGGCGGATGCGGTAAAAATACTTTATTCAAATCACGTTGTCCTTGGAAAATTTATGAATAAATTATAAATAAAATTTGTTATAAGATTTCTTTCAACACTCACTCGCCTTGCAAGCTCCAGTGAGTACGTTTGTAACGGTGGCACGCGCGTCCGCGACCATTTCTTCCGTTGCGATCTTGCAGCTCGCTTGATGCGTTTCCGTAACATCGTCGTTGGTGACATTGACCTCGATCTCGGCTAAAAATTGCAGTAGGGAGTCTATATAAATTTGGACTTGGTGAGAAACGCACCGAAATATGCGCATAGAAGCGCTATCTCGTTAAAAGTAAAAGCAGATTATGTAAAATGTGTTAAAAAAACTTATAGAAACTTATTCTTTTAAAATTATTAAGTTTCTTGCATTATAATTTTTCTAATTACTCACGATTGGGGACTAAAAACTAATATATATATTTTATTTTTTACTCTATTTAGTATTTGCAATTTTAATATTAATGTATAACATACCACATATATTCCGCGCGCGCATGCGTTTCACTATATAGTTTTATTCATTTTAAAAGTTTTGGTTTTGGTCGCTTGTTTTTAAAATAAGGACATAAGAAAATTTTTGAAATTTGATAAAAACATGAGACTACCCAGACAGCACAGAGTACTTGAGATGTCAGATGTCAGACGTCAAATGTCTTGAGAACATCCTGGAGACGTGTTGAGGACGTTCTCAGGATATCCACAAAACGTTTCTTGGAGGTGTGTGCTGCCTGGGTAAATAAATAACTGAATTTTAAATAAATAATAAAAACTAAATAAATAATGATTAAACTAAGATGAAGATGAAGATTAAATTGAAATTATTAAACTGAGATTAAATATACAAAAAAAAAACTAGATACCCAATTTAGTATAAAAACTAGGATAAAAACATCTAAAGAGACTTTAAAATTTGAAAGAAAAATAATACTTGTACAATTTTGTTACTGCGATGTGGTGTTTAATTTGATTTGTATTTTGAGCTTAAATGTACATATGGAATAAAGAATTTAGATTTAAGTTCTCAAGTCACAGCAAATTGAGATAGAACGGTTAATTAAATCGTGCTATTTCATCAACTCGGATTGAAAGATTATTCAGGCAAACTAACCAACCTTTTGTACTTACGCATTTGCCGCAAAGGTTCGCTCACACCACGCTCACCGTATACCAAATAGAGCGCACCGAGATAAAGCAATGATACGGAGCAATGCGCGGTAGCCAGCATTTCGTGTGGCATATGTCACACATGTGGTACGTTGCGAATTCACTTCGTTGTGACCGAATTTATAACCGACCTCAAACGTGGCGGTAGCTTCCATCTGCCTCAAAAATAGATTTTATCGCCTTTTTACTGGCCGATGGAAACACATTGAGGAAAAATCTGACAGCGAAGTAGCATACGAGTCCCTTGTCTGTAATTAAAATTTATTAAAAGCTACTTATCAACATACACACACTTATTTCTATCTATATATTTTGTTTAAAAAATATAATTATGTAATTATAAAAAGCTATGTTTTGATAAAAAAAATAATTGACGTCCAAATAATAGATCATCTTTTTTCTTCTTTAGTCTCACTTGCTCGTGTTCGAACGTAGTGGCCTCTTTTCACATGCCTGTGGTCATTGTACATAGGCATATGGGACCTAGAGTTTAACGCTGATTTCAAACGGCATATGATTTTTTGAAGCAGCAAATGATTTTGAAAAGTTTCTTGACAAGGATATTTTCGGTAGTTTGCCGTTACCTTCTGAGAGGAACACAAGCGTATGAAAATTTTCGGCTCTACTGGGAATCGGAACCTCCATAGCATAATAGTGCGGTGTCTGTCATGCTACGCTCGTTCTTAATAGATCATCAGAAATGTTTATTTAACTATTTGATTCTACTGATAAAAAATAACATTTTCGACTCTTTCTGTTTTGAAGTCATACTATTTGAGAATTATATATATATACAGTCCGGTAACTGATCAAGCAACCCTGTACGGGTATAACGGGTCAAATAGAAAGAGATAGCATGCTTTGGATCACCATTTTGTTTTTTCTAACGACGCATAGTGGGGATAAGAAGAAGAATGTGGGAAAGAAATAAAGGGGAATTGAAAGGCATGGAGGAGAAAAAATAATATAGTGTATCAGAATAATTATCGATATATTGTGATAATAAAGTGTTTTATATATATATAAAGTATTTTATATGTGTGTAATAAAGACGCTTCGAGGGAAACATATTATGTAGGAGAACCAATGTAAACTCCCATAAACATAAGGAGAAGCTAGAGTGTCTCCATCATGTGTCATTAGAAAAAGATAGAATGATGATCCAAAGCTATCTCTTTTTATTCTGTGACGTCCGCTCAGCCCAATACACAGTCTATATATATTAAGTCTATAGTTGGCTCTAACACTCGGTCTATATCATAGACATAATATATCTAGACCGAGCGTTTGCTTTTATTTGAGAAGTGGGGGTAAGAGCACGTAGAAAAGAATGCATTGCGTTTTGAGACCATGCGTTTTCTCTCATTCGCGCATGTGTATAAGCGTATGCGTAAGAAAGGTTGTGTTACAGAGAATAAGAGAGAACGCAGGGTCTCAAAACGCAATGCTTTTCTACGTGCCTCTTACCCCCATTCCTCAACGCTCGGGTTAGATATATCATGTCTATGGTCTATACTTACTATGTCTATGCATATATCAGAGAGAAACCTGAAAGCATATATGTAATACTATTATATTGCTAAATGAGAGAGAAATCCGGCCCCAGAACCACGGTGCAGGAATTTATATTTCTCTTTTTCTGGATGTATTATGAACGTTATGCGCATGCGTCAGATAGATCGTATAAAATATATTGTACAAAGTTGCATGTAATAGATTATATATACCATATGCTATAAAAACTGCGTTCGGCATTGTAAATCGAAGACGTGGGATTACTCTTTCATCTCGAAGATGCATAGAAATGAAAAAGATACGAGATCTCGCATCTCTCTCACTTCTGTGCATTTTCGAGGTAAAAGAGCAATCCGAAGTCTTTAATTTATAATGCCGAACAGCTAAACATGAGCTATTTATGTCGGAATATATATTTATATAAAAAAAAAGCAGCTGCAAATGAAAATATCAGTTTACATAGGTAAGGAAGCAGTTATCCAGGTTAGGTACATCCCAGATAGCACAGAGATGAACAGAAGTTCCTAGAGAATTCATTTTAAAGAATAGATATAGAATTAAAAAATGAATACCCGAAGAATTCTTGAAGAATTAACCACAGTAATTTCGTCTTGAAATATTCCTTAGGACTTTATTATAGCGAATACTTTACAACGTAATTCCTAGAACACTTTGAGAATTCGTAAGAAATTAGGACTAAGGCAGAAAACGAGACGTAAACGTCGTAATCGTAGATGTAAAGTAATGCAGAGAAAAACGTAAACGTAAGACTAATAGTCTTTCATGACTTACGTTTACGTTTTTCTCTGCCTTATTTTACGTCTACAACTACGACGCTTACGTCTCGTTCATCTGCCTTATGCCCAATTTCTTCACCTCCGGTTAACTTTATCTGTCGAATAAATGTCAACCGTGATTGGTTAATCTTGCCAACCATAAATATGATTGGTCAATTCCAATAGAATAACTGGCAGATAAAGTTAACCAGAGATGAAGAAATTGGGCATTAGTCTTTACAAATGTTTTGTTTATAGCAACTACTTTTTGCGCCTATATTCAGTACATGTCAGTAAGTGTATAATAATTGATTTACATATTTACATATACATTGTTTAATTTATTGTTATTCACAGTTATTTATATTTTGTGGAATTAATTATGTAGTTTTATCTAATAGGACAAAGAAAGGGAAGGTCTCGTTCATCTGCCTTAGCCCTTACAAATGTTTTGTTTATAGCAACTACTTTTTGCGCCTATATTCAGTACATACCAGTGAGTGTATAATAATTGATTTACATATTTACATATAAATTGTTTAATTTATTGTTATTCAGTTGTTTATATTTTGTGGAATTAATTATATAGTTGTATATAATAGGACAAAGAAAGGGAAGGTCTCGTTCATCTGCCTTAGCCCTTACAAATGTTTTGTTTATAGCAACTACTTTTTGCGCCTATATTCAGTACATACCAGTGAGTGTATAATAATTGATTTACATATTTACATATAAATTGTTTAATTTATTGTTATTCAGTTATTTATATTTTGTGGAATTAATTATATAGTTTTATATAATAGGACAAAGAAAGGGAAAAGTACGCTTTACTTACATTTAAAACTCAGTTAGAATTGTACCCATACAGCAGAGGTGTCCAAAATATATCATAGGAATATCTTAAAGATATATTTGGGATATGTGATATCTTTAAGATATCCTTATGATATATTTGGGACATTCCTGCTATATGGGTATATATCCAGCGAAAAATGATTCGTTGATTGACGTCAAAATGACATCAAATA